ACCACTGATGACTCTCTAGAGTCATTGTTTTATGATCACAATGAAAAAGACCACATTAGAATAGTTTTTGTCTATGAGATCTTCATTTTACTTCAATTACGAAGTTATCCTTATTGTAAAGAACCTTTTTCATCATTTTCTTTTTCTTTCTCGTCTATGTTGTCACCCTGACAACCGCCCTTCCCGGCTTTCCCTAATGAACCTTGCTACGCTGTCTCCTCAACCCTTGTCATAGGGGTCTGTCACTACCCGTGTTTGAGTAGAATAATACTCTCCTAATTTTATTATGTTTTTTATTAGCTAGGGAGTCTAAGTAAGGGGGGGGGGATGTGGTGGAAGGAGAAGGGGCCATAGAGTGGGTGAAATGGAGAAATAAGGGGAGGGGACAAAAACACGAGGGACTAATAAAAATAAGGGAAGGAGAGACTATGCACAACACGGGGTGTCAAGGACTGCAAAAATATTTAGCTCATTGATCCACTTGCAATCGCATTTTTTTTTCAACATTGGCCACACTTTGAAAATATCAGTTTAAGTTGTAATTTCCTTCCAGTTATACTAGTTTATTTCAATTGTAAAAGAATCATGTTTTTTTGGAACATGTTTAATGATTCCTCAACTTTTAATGTCTAAATTTTCTTATTTAAGTTAATATAGGATAATAATTGGTATATGAAATCTTATCAAACTCACTAGTATTTCTCTCCTATACCAGCTATTGTAATTTATTGCTTTCGTTAATCAATAAACAAGCTATTTTTAATACATTCAATTTTTTTAGTTGTAAAGCTTTCTTTAAATTGTCTTTCGTCCCGAATCGATTGAGAACATATGGAAGATAGTTTAGCATAGTAATTTACTATCGTATGATTCCCCTTTCTTTGCTACAAAGAAAGATGCCCCGTGATACGGAGGAGGATTTTGAAAACGAGAGCCTAAGTTTATGGTGGTTGCATCCGTGAGTGTCAAGAAAGAATCTTACATCCATTAAACATAAAACGGTAATCAACATATTAGGTTAACCTTTTAGAAGAAATAATATTGACACAAATTTTTTTTATTAAAATGGTGATTCGCAAAGGAAGAAAATGTGTCGTGGTGGATCTGATGTGGATACAGGAGAGGAGAGGAAAGGGAGGAGCAAACATCATTGGATTAGAGAGGAGTGACTACGACACTACTTTGATTGGCTTCACTTCGGCGCCGATGCTCTCAGTTTTTTTTTTTCAACTATTGAAAATTCGTGGTTGAGAGGTGAGAAGTGAGAGAGAAGTGAGGTAATTTAGGGTTTGAAATTAGGATTTGTTAAATTATTATTATTATTATTATTTTATATATATATATATATAAATTAATTAATTAATAAAAGTTCTGATTTTTGAAATTGTAAAGTTGAAATCTGATTTATGAAATGGGATTACTATGGGTCTTAGTTCCTGTAATTTCCTCTTTAAAAATATTGAGAAAAGAACTAGCCCAATTACACTAGAAAACCGTGAAAATTTCGAACCACAACTTGAAGAAGATTAAAAAATATGTCTTGGCGAGAGCAAGCTGGACATCCGTCAATCCTTAACTTTCCATAAAACATACCCTCTTATGTGAACATCAAATGAGCATGCTTCACTCACACTCATCAAAGTTCAATCGACCTAAATGGGATATTCAAACATTCCAGTGGTCACTATGGTTAAAGGGTAGCAATCCCCCCAAAAATTCATACTCGAATCGATGATAATATCTCGATAGTCCTAGTGAACTCCATACTTTTGTTTGGATTGACATTTGCCGCCACTCTAAAATTGTATTAATTTTACTAGAATCTATCGTAATTTCTCATACTGTCACTATTTGTTTAAAAATATCACTTGACCCAACGAATGATTGCACTCCTTGAATTTGGTATTGAACTTATAGGGGGATTCTTCACTTAAGCCTGTCCAATTTGAATCGATAGGGTTTGGCAAACCATGAAATTTCTACTTATAAATGAATATAGTACGTTAACCTGTTCGTAACCTACTACATTAGCCATTGGCTTGTTGAACCAATTGACATCAATTGAGGAGGGAGGTGGGGAAGTGTGGTCAATAACCCAAATATATAATATTTTCATTTTAAAAATATTTTATATTTATATTTCGTAGTTAAATTAGTTCCCACCAATTGTGAGAACTTGATTTTCCACTAATTGGCATAACTCATTTGTTAGAAGCAAGTGTACACTAATTCAATCACTATTAATTGAAAATACCAAAAACATTAAATTGCGCTCACAGCTCGACTCAAAATTCTCAAATGATCAGCAGGGATTAATTAATTATTAACATTCTGCTAAGGAATTTAAGAATATTAAAAATTGAAATAGCACGTACTGAGAAATTAAAATTTAGCCAAGTCATATTACATTTACGAGTTTAGCAAATTAGGTGGCTAGGTTTCCTACTAAAGAAAAACAATTCCAACTTGACTAAATTATAATGAGAAGGGAATTAATTGTTCCAATGGTTACTAAACTTAAGCTCATGTCTTTTATTGGTCACTGAAGTTTAAAATGTTAAGTTTTGATTACTGAAGTTAGGTTCATGTCTTCGATTGTTCATTGAAATTTAAAATGTCGAGTTTGGCCACCTAATTTTGGAAAATAATATACGTTACTCACTAGCATAAATGTTGAACTTTGAGAATATCGAATTTACAGTGAATAATGTACAATAGTTTTCAAAATTCAGTGACCAAAACTCGTCATTTTAAATTTCGATTAGCAATTCCAGGCATAGGCCTAACTTCGATGATCAATTAACTCATGAGTAGGAGTTATTCTAGCGATAAAAGTTATTTTTAATAGATAGTAATTAATGTTTTTCTTGAAATTATGAAAATACTTGAATACATATTTTTTGATGACTTGAAAATTTTGAATTAGAATAATGGTATTCATAGTCACATCTTTGAATGATTTTAATTGATTTGTCATCTTAATTGAATCTTAAATGTAAGATTTAAGAAGACAAATTAATAATGCCATGTAGCTCAATTTTGTAAGCATGATTTATTAAAGTAATATCCTTTGAATCTATAAACCGAACTGAATTAAATTTGAAATAAACTATTTATTTGATAGACGTCAATTAGTATTTAGTAAAAGCATCGTAACATATTTCTTCTTAAAATAAAACATTTTTAGTTCTGTTTCTTTTCGAAAGAATATACGATAAAATACCGTATTTTCCAAAAATGAAAATCTTGTTTAATTATCCAGTTGCTAACTTTCTTTTCTTGTCCGGTTAAAATTGGGGCATTTCCTACTTGGCTACTTTCTTCTTTCAACTAACGGATCGCTCATCTCTCACTAAATCGAACGGCTACGATTTGTCAACAGAGATGGCGTGTATATCGTTAACCCGCAACACGCCGGAGTCCGCTTCCGGTGATCAGAGGTTCCGTGCAGTGGCAGCGGAGGAAGAGGATCGGTGTAGCTCTTATCGTCGTCATCCACGTCTTCGATCAGGAAGAACAGTGATGAGTCAGACGGCAAGGGGAAGAGGGACGGAGTAAATATAAATGTGGGCATAAGATGGGTTCGATGCTTTGGAAAAGTTTCTGCCTATAAGGTACATATTCTCTTTTTATTTGATTTGAAATCCATTTTTAACAAGTGTTCGGTACTAATTTGAAGAGATTATATTTGCTTTTAAATTTGACTTCTTCTTTTTTATTTTTTATTTTCATTTTAAATGTGTTTTAGGGTTTTCATTTGTTTCCTATATGTTGATTTTGTTTAATTGCATGAAGAGTATCTTTGTACGAAAAATAATGAACTTGTGCACGGCGAAGTTAAATAACAGTTGCATATAAAAACGAAGATAATGGATTTTTTTCTTTATCTTGTCCGTATGTCCAAGTCATCAGAAGTTTGTAATCAACATAGCTCTAAGCTACTGTAGTTGAACCATGTTTTGAGATTGCAAGGTAAGAGCTTGTCCAAGATCATTTCAATAGCAAAACAAGGTGAAACTTCAATATTTTGATGTTTGTAGAGTTCAATCAATCCTTTCTAACTGCACAATATCTAATTTTCATTGGTTTGCATCAATTACAATAAGTAATTTCTAATTTCTGATGGTTAATGTACGAATTCCTTTTGCATTGATGTTTATGTTGTTTATCCAATAATTTCTATTGGCTTATTTCAGGAATGGCGTTTCTAAGTTCTAGTGTGAAAATGCAAATTTTTTACCAGCCTTTCGGATGCCTTGTCTTGCTCGTCCATTAAAGATATTGGTAAGCCTGATGATGCATACACCAGGAAGCGAAAAAAATTGCTTGCCTTCAATAACTTTTGGGACAAGAATTGTGATATTACTTTAAGAAGTAACAATGGTGGGATATCAAAAAGTCCTGCCAACTCTAGAAGTGCATTAACTCAGGCAGAAACCACAAGCCATTCTGAGAGCAATAACAGTGAAATTTCTATCTCAAAGTCGTCATCACCTGGTGGATATCATGTCATCTCCACCGCTCGGTGAGGAGTTTGCCCCTGGAGGTCTTTCTCTTTGTCTGATCTGCAAGGTACAACTGCTGCTTGTCTCAGCATCTAGGATTATGGGTCTATAACAAAAACAAATAAAGCAAACTATACAGATGCCCTTCACTTTAGAGTCACACTCAGAATCGAAAGTCAGATAGATGTTCATTGAGATGGAGATATTTGTAATTTCTGCCTTGCTTTGTTATTATAGGCTTCTACCGTTTGTTGTAATTGCTGCTGTATATTCTTATCAGTTTCTGCTCTCCTGGTCAGCTATTGTGTAGCTATATGAAATTCCTGCTAATTCTGAAGATTCGTTCTCCTTCTCTTCCTAAGTCTCTTGTCCTCGTAAGTTTCTAACTAAGTCAACTATCCTTATCTAGGAAATATAGGAATTTCATTTAATGAGAAGAATATTTTCCTAAGGACATCTTGATGTTATGCTCGTTTGTGGGACTTAACTTAGGTTTTCTCGTGACCTTAGTAAGTAACTCATAGCGAGCAAACTTGGTGGCAATTGAAGAGTTCTGGCCCTGTTGCCCAGTGTCAGCTGTTGCACTCGTATATCCAATATTGCTTTTTTAATAAAATTAGGTGTCTTGAGTAATTACGATCTTGAACCTTTTATTTTTGTGTGGGAGTGTTTGTGCATGTTGTGCAAAATATTTTCCGGATTTCTGCAGCTACTAGGAGCTTAGTTGCCATTGCAGAAGACATGAAAGGACATAGTGCTATGAAGTACTGGAGTAATAAAACCCCTGCACTTCAGATCACAGCTTCTTTAAGGTATGGAATCTGACCTAACTTTATTTCTACCAGCAGCAAAATCTTAGTTTGATTATATATATTTGTTTTTGTTAATGATCTTAGTCTGTTGCTAATATATTAGCATGCACTTTTGTCTTGGTAGCCTATTTTCAGTTTCATGCAATAAATCCTTTTTTATGATTAGCACTGCAACGTTATACATAGTAGAGAGTAAATATCCAAACACCTTTACAAGCAAATGCTGTAGAAATGGAAGTTTGGGTCTTCTTCAAATTTCTAGATTTGTTCCATATGGACATCTTTAGCACTTGCTTTCCATGATGAACCTATGGTGCAGAGTAATTATAAATTCGTGATGCTTGTTGGAGTGGTCGTGGACTTTTGAAATCATTTATGAAGCTTCATAGTAACCGATACAATGGTAAATGTCAAATCAAAAGGATTACATACACTTATAGATCCGTATTATCGCAGTCATATATTATGTAAACTCATGTGGACAGTAAATAGACTTCAAACTTGTATCGGAGGAATTTTTCTAAGGGCATTTGCTCCATATACAGATATTAGAGGAAATAATGACAAATACCTGGTTTTGAGCATAGTAACGACAAGCAAAAATGAATGATTAGCAAAAATACCGTTTTCTTTAGACTTAATTCTCTGAGACTCCTAACGGAAATAATTTATCACAAACATTTTCATACATAAGTGGCTAGGTTATGATGAATGAAAGTATTTTGGTTGAATAAGCGGCCATCAGATTAGTAATGAATGGTATCAATGAATAACAAACCAATTCCTTGGGGTATTGTTCGTGAGCAAATTATTGATCCGAGTAACGAAATTGAGCTAAGTTAGGGTTTTGTCCTTGAGCAAAGTTATTGAATTGAAAAGAAAAGTTGAGCCTTAAAAACACCCGGAATTTCATTTAGGCTAACAGATATGATTGTAGCTCTTTATCCTCGTTTACTAGATTGTAAAGAAAAAGCTTTCATGCTAGTGAACATTTTTTACCTTGGAAATGACTCTCGATTACATTAGCAATGTTTATGGCAAAATATTGCTTTTGCCGAATGTTATTCAATGAATAGGTAGTCTAGACAAGAATGGATGCATAATACTTCAATGTTGGTGGTAGAGACTTAAAGGTTTACGCATCTACAGGGGTGACACAGTAAAGAAAATAGTTATTTATTTATTTTGGATTTCGTCTTTGGTTCTAATGTATAAATTATTTAAAAATACCAACAATCTAAGTTACACTCACTAAATTTGAGGGGAACTATATGAATCACTTTTCATCATTGCATTCTCTTCATCATGAGATTATCTAATGCAAATTGATGATTATTTAAAAATATGTACTAAAATATTGTGAATAGAAAAAATGAGTTTAAAATATATATGTAAATATTGTGGGTACAAAAAAAACTAGTTTTTGACTGCTTTCGCACTTTGTTCCCTGTTTGGAGCTTGTGCATAAAATATGAACATAGCAGGAGTAGGTGATCACGAGGTAGATACTGAACAAATACACATGTGCAACTAGCTATGGAAAGACATACTTATTAACATACTATATTTACCCAGGTCATTTCATCTTTATATATTGGCTATTTAGGTAACCAGATAATTTCTTGCTTTCTTAATGTATGTGTGTCTTTCCCTAGATTGAAATGGCAAAATTATAAAGGTATCCAGTCTTCCTATAATCTAAGCAAAATATTTTTTACGAGCTACAGATTTTTTTATTTTAAACTGGTTTGGAGCCATCTTAATTTTTGCTTGTGGTTTATAGCATAGTTATGAATGCTTCACGATTCATGTCTTTAGTAGGCTGTTAAGCATTGAACTGCCTATGAACGATTGTGGGGTTGGCCATAGGTGGAAATTTCTGGATAAAAATCGGTTCTTTGAAGTTATTCATAAAACAGGCTTGATTTGTGGTATTGGGCGATGAAAATTAGGCTTTTTTTGTGGTATCGGGCGGTGAATAATTGGTGACACGTGGCATTAGACTTGGTTTTATAAAAGTTGCTGGAGTATCCTTCAATTCATTACTTGTACTACTTTTCAGATACCCGAGTAAGTTGGCTTCCTTATTCTAGTTCTGGTTTTGCTTTTTTTCCGATTCCTGTTACTTTTAATGTTAATAAGTTTGCAATTGTTAGCCCGAAATATTTAGATCTGTCATGATTGTGAAGATTGTTAGAGAAACATCTCACTGGGCTTTGTTTTTTGAGTTTTTTTCCTTCTATAATTTTTCTTGATTTAATCCCTGGGTAAATTCTGTTTTCAGGATTTTCTCTAGTCTCAAGTTTGGATCTTATGGATTCTAAACCAGTTATAGTCAGCCTGAAGGCGCTGCGTGCTTTCCATTCAATTGACGGGGCTCTTTATGCTATACTCGTGACTGAACTTTGGCGTGATCCGGTGGAATCGTTGCAGATTATTGCCTTATGGCTTTGGTTAGAGCATGTGGGTTTTGGCAAAGTCACAAGGAAGATCTTGGCATTTGCTCCGTTGTTCATCAATCAAATTGCTGAAGAGGCTGCTATGTGTATCAAGTGCATAAAAGATTCCCACTTCATACATTCAGCTGAAGCCACCGATATTCCTCTGACTCGTAGCATCGTTGAGAAAGAGATATCACTTCGGTTTTTTAATGAGAATCGTGTGACTGCATCCCGTGAAGTAGGCAGAATTATTAATCAAGATTGCCTCTACACTATGCGAGACATCACTGAAAAAGCCCTTCATGGTGATTCTGGAGAAAGTTCATCAAGAAACTGGTTATTAAATCCATTAAATGCTGCTCAGAGTTCTCCATCAAATTCTACTCTGATGCCATTTAATGGTCGACAAAGTTCAGGATGGAATCAGATGATGATTTCATCCAACGCTAATACTGCAGAAAGTTCATATAGAAACCAGATGATTCGTTTTAATGCTTCTCGACGCTATTTATCAAATCCCATTGTCATGCCATTCAATGTTGGGCCAAGTTCAGGATATAGCCAGATGATGATTCCATCGAATGATGCTCGAAGATCTTTATCAAATCCTACTGTAATGCCATTCAATCTTAGACAAAGATCTGGGTTGAAGGAAATGATGATGTCACGTCATTTCCACGAGTCGATGATCCATAACTTCTCTAACATGAGAGTTGGAAGGAATGCATTCCCGAGAAATAATCAACTCATAAAAGAGGTACCACGAGAGGACAGGACTATGTTTGCAACATTTTCTAGGGGTTATCCTGTGGCTGAAATGGAAGTTAGGCACTTCTTCACAACGGTCTATGGGAATTGCATAGAGTCCTTCAGAATGCAGGAGGTTTGGCCTTACGAGCAACCACTTTATGCTCGAGTCGTGTTCCTTAAAGCCTCGTTCGTTCAGGAAATTCTTGATGGTACGGAGAAGGCCAAGTTTACCATCAACAGAAAGCACGTATGGATGCGCAAGTTTGTGCCAAGAAACAAGGGCTCCTCTTAACTGGCATTGGTGTGATAGAATGCTGGCTGCATCGTCTATCTGTATTTTGATGTTTCGTTCCCTGTAGTTTCCCGTTATCCTATCATTATTGTAGCCATTTGTCGTGTTAATGTTATTGCTTTCGTTTCTTTCTTTTACGTGTTGTATTTTCAATTTGACTAGTGAATGTAATATATTAGTGGTTGTGTTAATTTCAGTTATTTCGAGTAAACTTGATGTCTTTTAAGAGTGATGTTTGGTAAATAATACATAGAAAATGAGTAACTTGATAAAATGGGTTCTTCAATCCTTGAGGTTTTTCTAAACTTGCATCAACTCTTCACACTAAAATACCAGGAACTGCTCTCACACAATTCCTTGCCTGGAAAGTTTAATAATTTAGGGTGAGTGTCATTAAATTTATTTTCCGTGGAAAATATTAGTTTTCATTTAAATTCTTACTTTGGATGTTTGATTGTTATCTTTTTTCAGTGAAATTTTTTTCCAACTCTTGAAAATATGTATAATTTTTCTTGTTTTTAAGAAAAATATTTTCTTTGGAGGGAGTAGGTTTTTGTTTTTAAGGAAAATATTTTTTTTAAGGTGATATTTTGCATGTGAATCAAATACACTCTTATTGGCTTTTTGGTTGTGGGGCCCGCATGAGTTGGGAAGTTATGGAGACTAGCTGGTGTTGTGTTACGCACGACAAAAGGTGACAATTTATTTATTTATTTATTTATTTATTTTTACATTTTTTGTCTAAATCTTATCTTGTTAGTATATACTACCAAATTTTTCATATTCTAATCAAGTCCAGATTAGCATATGAAAGGGTATTTGTTTGGGAGAAATTATAATAGTATTGGATGAAAGTAAGTGGTGGGTCCTATAAAACGTGTGGATAATAAGTAGGAGTAATTGTAAATATATAATTACAATTAATGTTTGACCTAAAATTATAATGATATTACCATGTTTGGTTGAATGAGGAGCTCACTCCATTTCAACATTTCTTTTTATAAGCTTATAATTAAGTCAATATAAATAACATTTGAAATTAAATTATTTAAAATTGATAAAATATGTGTAAACAACTATTAAAAATATGTGTGAGTGATGTGTACCTTCATTAAAAATCTACCTAAAAAAAAAAAAAAGTGAGTTCAACGTCATCTTAATCTCACCTAAAACTGTAACAAATTTTGTCTTGCTTCGGTGGATAGGGTTTGGCAAGAGGTAAATAGCTTTTAAGTCAAACGTAGAAGCATTAATTTGGCTTGATGTGACATGAAAAACTCAAGTGCTATTCAGATTTTATCTTTTAAAAAGTAGAAGAGTTTTACATAAAGTGAGTGAAAAGCTGACTCATTAATTATCTCGATAATTGATTTTGTAATTGACTACAATTGGTAATGGTCCAAATGAATATGATTCTATTAAGAATCGTGTTGAACTAGACATAATTCAGGTTTTATTATTATTATTATTATTTTTTATTTTGTTACTATAAAATATAGTCCATTCGTTATATATTGTTTTTAGGTTTGAAAAGTTGAATTGATTAGGTGGTTTTATAAATGCATTATAGTTTTAACATGAGATGGGTGGATTTATTTATATAGGAAGAGGCTTCGTGAAGTAATAAAATTGTAATCATTAATGAGAAGTGAACTTGTTCCAAGGAATACCAAAACGGTCCAAATTATTTACACAAAGTTCCCAGTCAAGTCTAGTAGTTCAATTGATTATATTAGTATTTTTATTTGTTATTATTCGTCATATAAACATCAAAGAGCGTTTTGCTATTAATGTACCAACTTTATATATGCAAATTTTATAATATTGCGTAGTTAACTGAATGGAGTAAAGGAAATCGAATTATACCATTCATTACTTAAATGTTGAGATGAGTCCATGTCCATTCATCATTTTCAATTTTTGAAAATTGATTAATAGAGAAGAGGACACCCCATGTCGGTCCATCGTTCTTAATGTTCGAAGATTTATCGATACTAGTTATTTAACAAAATAAGTACCGCTTCAATGAATTGCTTGTGCAATTCTGTGTCGTCCGTCATCTTAGAAATCTATCTTTATAGATTTTCCACTTAACATATATAAACCAAGAGTATTCAGAAGTTCCCCAAACACAGGTCTTGCAATGAACATTATTTGGCCCCGTTTGGTCTCCATTATTTTTTATTATAATGGGGGAATAGTTTTTTTTTTTTTTTGGAAAAATGGATGGTTGTAAAAACACGAAAAATTTTCGATTTACATGTAATATTATTTTATGGAATATTGCGTGGTTAAAAATAGGAGAAACAAATTTTAATTTAATTTGATGAGATTTAATGAGAGCCAAATGGGGGCTCGATAAAGATTACGGCGAACACACTGCTAGCCAATATGATGTCTCAAACATGGGACTACACTATGTCACGCTACGGCACAAGAGTGTCGTAAGATCGGAGGATGCAGGGAACTAAGAGGTCCTTCTTCTTCTTTTGATTTGACTATATCAGTTAGTACCTAAAAAGTCAAACATGAGACATTCTAAGTACGTTTTACCGTGGAAGAGATTGCTTTGTCGTGGAAGTGATGAATCTTAACGAGCTAGTCATAGGGCCTCCTGACCCAATGCCCTACTTCTAACTCTAGTTAGACATGTTTATCTTTGAGCGTACAGGGCATTTCTCACAGATCTTTTACATGGCCCCTCATTGTGCAGGGGCCCCACATGTATTAAAAATAAATAAAATTACATGAGGCCTACGTATGTGTGTGGCTTGGCCCTGTAAGCCTAGCATCTCTCTTTATCTTTAGATATGCAACACCAATCTAATAGACACGTCATATTGTCGGTCCCAAATAAGTATTTTTGTGACTCGGTTGACGATTAAACGTAAAAGAATTAAAATAATTTGCAAGAAATTAAGAACACAGCAATTTTCGGCCCTAAGGCCCCGAGGTTCAATTAATGCCTAATCCCCATTGAGCATTTGTTAGGATTTTGCTCGAATCCACTAGATCAACTCAAAACCCAGGCAAACTTACAAGTACAGAAAGAACTTCAAGATTTCTGCCTCTCAAAATACACAGATAATCCTCAAGATTCTAGAATATTCGATAAAGGAATGGATCTCTTCACCCTCTAAACATATTATCACAATTTCATTCAGAAATTACACTAGATTCATCACACAAGATGAATATTCACACAGATCAGAAGAGGAGTAATCAAGATATTAAGGTTAGGATTCGAGAGAGAGTGACCCCAAAAGTCAGGCTCCATTATTTATAAGAGAGAAAGTCAATATGCTGATCCAACGGTTCCCAGTTTGCCAGGTGTTAACCATGCAGCCACAATCATATTATAAGTAAAGTTGCATTTTGGGAACACGATTTCTCATTAATCTCGAACCTTCAATTAACTGGATCAAATAAGTGGGCCTTGTATAGCTAGCTGGATCATTGGGCTCAAAATTGCAGCAGCCCAATATCTTCACAATCTCCACCTTGCTTGAATTTTGAGGCCAATACTAAGTGGATTCTTACAAAACTGACCAACTTCATTTGCTCTAAAAAACCTGTAAATGAAAAAAGGAACAGAGTTAGTAAATTTCAAGATTCAACAACCTCAAGGAATCTATGAATTTACTTAGAGGTATTACCTTTGTACCTGCATGAGCAAGATTTATTTTAGTAGGAATTTTGACCAATTTTATTTCACCTTTTTCAACAATATCTTTAATGAAGTGAAACTTAACATCTATATGTTCGGTCCTATTATGAAAAATTGAATTCTTACTCAAGAAAATGGCACTTTGGTTATCAGAACACAACTCCTCCTGATTTTCTATAAGTCCTAACTCATTCAGTAATCCCATCAGCCAGAGACCTTCTTTTATTGCCTCTATAGCAGCTATGTATTCAGCCTCAGTTGAGGACAGTGCTACCAATTTCTGAAGTTGTGATTTCCAGCTTATGCATGTATTATTGATCACATAAAAATATGCACTAGTGAATTTCCTATTATCATAGTTTCCAGCAAAATCTGAATCTACATAACCTTTTAATTTAAGACCATTTTTATCAGATTTAAACATAAGACCTAAGTTTTGTGTGCCTTTTAGGTATCTATTTAAATTTTTCATGGCTTGCCAATGAAGCTCACATGGATCACTCATAAATATGCTTAATACACTTACTGCATAAGCTATATCGGGTCTAGAACATACCATAACATACATGACAGAACCCACAGCATTTGCATATGGTACATTCAACATTCTTTTAAATTCATCTTCATTTTTAGGTGATTGGTCAATTGATAATTTCACATTCCCAGACAAAGGTAAACTAACAGGTTTTGCATCATGCAAAGAAAATTTTCTCACAACCTTTTCAATATAGGCTTTTTGGGTTAAAAACAACTTTCCATTAGACCTATCCCTTTTTATTTCCATTCCTAGTATCTTTCTAGCAGGTCCAAGGTCTTTCATTTCAAATTCAGACTTTAATTTTTGTTTCATAGAATTTAAAGTAGCGGAATTATGACCAGCTAAAAGCATATCATCCACATATAGGAGCAAGTAAAATGATTCACATTCTCCATCCGTTTTGAAATAAAAACAGGGATCATATTTAGATGTTATGAAATTTAGGCTTTGTATAAAAGAGTCAAATCTTTTATACCACTGTCTTGGAGCCTGTTTTAGGCCATACAATGATTTATTTAGTAGACACACTAAGTGTTCCTTACCTTTAACGTCAAAGCCTTTTGGTTGTTTCATATATATAGTTTCATCCAAAAAACCATATAAGAAGGTTGTCTTAACATCAAGTTGTTCTAGTTCTAAATCAAATTGTGCTACAAGGGCAAATAATATTCTAATGGAGGTATACTTCACTACTGGAGAAAATATCTCAGTATAATCTAAATCCTCTCTTTGTGTAAAACCTTTTGCTACAAGTCTTGCCTTGTATCTTCTATCATTTGATTTAAATTCGCCTTCTTTAATTTTATACACCACTTACAGTTAATCAGTTTGCAGTCTTTGGGTTTTTCTACTAAATGCCAAGTTTTATTTTTATTTAGACAACTCATCTCATCCTGCATTGCTGCAAACCATTTCTCATATTCTTTAGAGGTAGTTGCCTCTTCAAATGACTCAGGTTCCATATACAGAGGATCAAATTCCAAGTGTGCAGATACAAAATCTGCAT